CAAACTCAGTACAATAGCAGAATAAGGGTGTAGAAAACACTACTACTAACATACTCCATGGAATAATACTATGCATCCGGTTTTATTTAGCTTGACTGCTCAATTCAAAGTCCATTTGAGAGATAAAACTGAAGTAAACTCAAGAAGGCTCTCTCATATGTAGCCACTGCTCTTTGATTGCAGTGACCTTAGTAATGCAAACGTTTGGTACCAAGCCAAGGCCAGTACATCTGATTTTCCCACCAAGTGAACTGCTGAAGCAGCTCCCTCAGCTCTTCAGCCAAGTCTGTCTTGGGATCCTAAAGTCTTCCGCCGGAGTCCAGGTGGCTCCTCTACTCTTTCCAACACGCACGCAAACACTGCAGCCGGCTGGACAGACGATGCGAGCGGGCATTGGAAGGGAAAAGAGGTGCCGCCGTTCTCCCCAGACCAGAGCCCCGCGCTCGGCGCGCTGGCTCCCCAGGCGGGCTGGAGTTATCCCAGTCCCGCCGAGGTGGTCTCCCGGGCTCTGTCCCTCCGCAGTGCCTCTGCCCACGCCACCCACGCGAAAACCAGCGTCCCACGGGCTCAGCGCTCACCAGCGCGGCAGCACCAACTCCGCGCTCCGCCCGTGCGCAAGGACCCCGCGCCTGTCCGCGCTCCCCCCGAGCAGGGCAGGGTCCCGCAAGGATAGCGGGGCCAGCCCGCACCGGCACAGCCTCCGGCAGCTCCGTTGCTCCAGGGGCGGTCCAGGGGACCCTCGGTGCCCGGGGAGCCCCCGCCGCTGCCGCCGCGCATCTCCGGCCCGCCCCACTGGCGGGAGGCGGGCGGCTCTCGGAGTGCACGGACGACGACCCGCAGCAGGACCGATCGCTTCTCCCCCAGACCCGCTTCCCTGCCCAGGTCCTCCCCCAGAGGCGACCACCGCCCGGCAGCGCGGCTCCCATGGCCCTTACCGAGGCGCGCAGGGATGCGCTCCCTCCGCCGGCCGCCTCCAGCCCCCGTCCCGCAGCCCTGGCGATTGTAGCTTTTTTGGAGAAGCTGGGAAGAGGGAAAGAAAGGGGGGGAGGGAAGGGGGAGGGAAGGGACTGAGATCGAGGGAGAGAAGTATGCAAAGGCAGGAAGTGGAGACGGCCACGGCCAGTGCGGGAGATTAATGGGAACCAGTCACCCGGCAGCCAACAAAGAAACCTGCTCCCACAGCGCAGCGCAGCCCGGCCCGGGCTGCCCCGGGCGCCCGAAACGCCGCTCCCGCCAGCAGCGCTCGGCCCTGGCCCCGGCCCCACGGAGGGGTGGGCGCCCACCCCCCCCAAGCCCCAAACCCGGTCCTGGCCAGGCGGGAGGGAGGGAGGGAAGCAGCACGGCGGGACCCGATGGGCGGAGGAGGGGACTGAGACCCCCGCCTGACAGCCTTCCTCCTCCCTTTAGCCCGGAGGGGCGATACCGTTTATTTTTTATTTAAAACACTCCGAGCTCTGCGCTTCTCCCGGCGCGGAGCCGCTTTCGGGGCAGAACGGAAGGAAGGAGGAGAGCAGGCGGCGCTTCCTGCGCCAGGCGCGGGGCAGATGGATCCCATCAGGGCTCCGGGAGCGGGAGAGCTCCGGGGGCCCTTCCCGAGCTCCCCGGGGTAGCTCGCAGCAACAGCACCTGTGGAGAACGAGGGGGGAAGAGGGAGGCAGCGGCTTGCGTCTGGACTTCATGCCGGGTACCTCGGTTCAGATCCAGCCTGCTGGGAGCAGCTCCTGGCAGCAATTTGGAATGCTCTGCTTCCTCGGGAGCACAGCCCGAGGTGCCCAGTTGGCACACCAGGACACGGGGCATTGCACGTACCAGGGGGTGAAGAAGGTCTGTGTGTGGTACAAGCAATAAAGCACATACTCCACGCACGCCACCAACAGCATTGGGCAGGCCAGCTCCCTGCCACACGTGTGGCTTCTGATGGTTTGGCAGATGAGAAACCTGCACAAGACGTTTGATATAAGAAAAACACACTGAAGAGGCAGGATACTGGCTGTTAGCAGGACCATGAGTATTGCGAAATACAAAGACTGCTCCTAGATCTTGAAGTATTATGTAGGCATTTATAAAACAAGTCACTTTGCAATATATTATCCAAATGATTCTAGGTACAGAAGGGAAAAAAAAAGAGCTACAAGTATTCTGCAACTGGAAGTACAAATTCCAGCAGTACACATTTCTTGAACTTTAAGCACTTGCTGACTTTCTTCCCATTGACTGAAATGGAAGCAAAATGGTGTTCCACGTTAGACATATGCTTATGAGGTTTCCTACATAAGGATACTTCTCTGAACACAGAACCAAGTGCTCAGGATAAACTATTCTTGGCTTTTGCCACCTCATCAGCAAAACAAAATATATTGTCTTGAGATATTCTGATCCGTCATCCCATGCAACAAGGAATCTGGTGTAAATGCCCAGCATTTCACAAGCCTCCATTATATTTCAAAAGAGTGAATGTACAGGAAATAAGGGTAGCTCTCATCTGGATTCTGATGTGAATGTGTGTTTCAAAGCCAAAGCTGTTTCAGCTGTCAGCCTTCTTGGGACAGATGTATTTACTCAGCTGCAAAAGGAGTACTGTGTCATCGAACATCAAAAAATGGTGGGAGTTTAAATTTCAACACACAAGGAATAATTTACCTCCTGAACAAGCTACTGCTACAAGTACCTGGCAGGAGTAGCAAATGAATGGTTCTCTCCCTGTTATGAAAAGGACATGAGGGCCTTTCCGAGTCTATTTCACAAGTGCAGCCAGACAGCAAACTCACCTGCCTCTCCAGGAGACCATTGCTAACAAGGAATGATGCAAAGAAAGATGTTCAGCTTCCAATTAAGCAAGAAGCAGTCTATTCTGGCTGCTTCTCCAGCCCATCAAACATGCTAACATTGCTTTTATCAAATATTATTTTTCTCCTCTGTTTATGTTTCACTCGGTTCCCCAGACCTCAAGCATTCCAGCAACTGCCTAGATTTTCTTGTGAGTACAGCAGACCAAACTTAAGCTGTATCTGAACACTGAGTTGGGGCTTTGAATGTGTTTTAATGAACAAGCAGCCTGCAAAGGGCTTGTTTATTACAAGCCCTGGCTGCTGCTCTGGTTAAGCAACTGGAAGATGACAGTAAAACTTAAACTAGGAGGGGATTATTTGTGCTGTTTGCCAGACAGATTACAGCTAGCAAAGCTCTCAACAAGAATGGAGGACTTGCAGAATCGGGGCCTCCATGTTAACCTTGGCCATACCGCACTTAAAGTTTCTGTGCGTATTTGGCCCTTCCCACCGTCACCTCAGGGCACACGGGGTTAGCGAGTCCTCGGGGCGGCTCTGACTCACACGGAGCCGCTTCCCGAGCCCATCTGGTGACTCCAAGCGGTGACCACGGCCTCGCTGGAGAACCCTCCTGGAACAGACCCAGCTCCCAGGGAGCGAACCGGCTGGTTTGGCAAACCCTGCTCGCAGGGGGCCAAAACGCCGCGTGGTTTCTTTCACCGACCCAGGTGAGCGGGTTCTCCTTTCGGGGAGCGGATGCAGATGCTGTGCGCTCTCACCCGCACGCCCTTCGCCCAGCCGGCCATCGCTGCCTACTGCCATCGTCACCTTGTACCTCACAAGTTTAAAAGAGAACCAAACAGCCGCGCAAGCACCGCTGTGCACCGCAGGGTGGAGGCCCCCGGGCACGCCGAGCCGAGGTCCCCCACACCAAGCGCTGCGCGGGGCCGCGTCCCGCCGGATCTTCCCGGGCGGGGCGGGGCGGTAGCGCCCCCTATCGGCGGCGGCGGGGGGGCGGGGTCCGCGGGGCGGGGCGGGGCGGGCTGGCGCGTGCGCAGGAGGCGGCGGCGGCTCGCGGCGGCGGCGGGATGGATGTGGCGCGCGGGGGGCGCACGGCCGGGCTGGCGCGCGATGTGCTGGAGCGCGCGCGGCGCCGCGCGGCGGGACCGGGACCGGAACCGGGACCGGTCAGTGACACCCGCACACCTCTCTGTACACACGGCTCTATGTCTGTATACGTGCGAGCCTTAACGAGCCTCCTAAAATACGCTTTGTCACTTCCTACCCCCCTCCCCGCGTTTTATCTTCCTTTGGAACCGGCAGGGCAGCGCTGGGCCGCCCGGGACTGTGCCACCCCAGGGACAGCCTGGAGTGTTTGCTGTTTAATCACTTTCTGCATCTAAGCAACGAGCACCGCGCTGGGTTACAGAGAATGTCTTTAATTGCAGGAGGAAGAAGCCGAGCGTCTCAATGCAGCCTTCGATTCGATCGTGAAGCTGATGGGTAAAGCCTCAAGGGAATGCGAGGTGAGGTTTCGCCCCCAGACCCGTGCAAAGGGGAATGTTTATGATGTGCCCGGCAGGCACCACTTTTACTGAAAATATTAGTCTTCAGTTTCGCTCATTGCATGGAAAGAGTTCAGCCACTGAGCCTCTGATGCGGGCCTAGGTGAAGACATTTGGGGCGTTCACCATCATGTGGTAGCAGGGTACATGGCAGGTTTCACCAGTGTTATCGCACTTGAGCTGATAAACACCACTATCAGCATTTTCCATGGACAGTACCAGTAGCCCGGTATAGATTTTAGCAGAGGGTTTCTCCATTTCTTGGTGAAAAGGCATTACAGTCAGAGAGGCAGAAATGTCAGGTGACATCACAAGTTACATTGTGTCGGCCCCTGCGCAGGCTTTTGTGTCACAATGTATGGAGCGTTTCCAGTGCTCCAAAGTATCTGCTGTAGAGCGGCGTTATGACCCTTTGTTTCCATCAGGCCAATGTGAAGCACTCATGCTGGCTGACTGTGTTCTGGGTGGTGGAAGTAAAGGAGAGTTCGACTCTCGAGCAAAGAGATTGTTTTGTGTCATGCTTTTGCTCCGAATTCAGAGTTAACCTCCCCAGTATTGTGATTTAACCCCAGTCAGCAACTAAGTACCATACAGCCCATTCCCTTCCCTGGCCCCCTACCCTGGTGGGATGAGAGGAGCATCAGGAGAAAATAAAACTCGGGAGTTGAGAGAAGAACAGTTTAATAATTGAAACAAAGTAAAATGTAATAATAGTAATGATAATAACAATAATAATTGTAATGAAAAAGAGAGAGACAAATAAAACCCAAGAAGAACAAGGGATGCACAATGCAGTTGCTCACCACCAATGCCCAGCCAGTCCCCAAACAGCAGTCAGCCCCCCCCAGCCAACTCTCCCAGTTTATACTGAGCATGACAGTCCATGGTATGGAATATCCTTTTGGCAAGTTTGGGTCAGCTGTCCTGGCTAGGCTCCCTCCCATCTTTTTGTGCACCTCCCTGCTGGCAGAGCATGAGACACTGAAAAGTCCTTAGGGTAAGCACCATTCAACAACCAAAACATCAGTTTGTTATCAACATTATACTTGTACCAAATCCAAAATACAGCTACTGTACCAGCTACTAGGAAGAAAACCAACTCCATTCCCAGATGAAACCGGGTCAAACTTGATCCGAGATGTTGCCATTGGATGAGGACTGTGGGCTCAGTTCTGAGCAGCACCGTATCTTTGTGATAAGTAGAAATGGAGGGGTATGGCTTACAGATGCACAGCTCCACTGCTTTCATGCTGGCTTTGGCTGCCAGGTTCATTGCTCTATGGGGTGGATGGACCTCTGCCAGCTCATCCTTGTGAACGCAGCCCTGCAGCCCAGCTGCTGCTCTGAAGTCTCTGTGAACTCCACCACAGTTCACAGCGGCTGTGCCCCTCGGGAGCTGTTACAACACAGCAGGGAGCTCGTTGTCTCCAGAGTTAATAACACAGGCTAAGTCTGCAAGTACATTAGAGAAAACAGTACTTCATTGCACCAAATGATTAGATCTTAAGCAACTCCTCTATCATCTGAAAGCCCTACATACACAGTAACCAGTTATCCCTAAAACAACTCAGGCAGAATAGAGTTTTCCACAAGATGAAACAAAAATACAAGTGTATAGAGATTCATCCTTAGCGGTGGAATTGGCAGTGCTAAGTTTATGGTTGGACTATGATCTTAAGGGTGTTTTCCAACCTATATTATTCTATGGGTCTACCTTATGGCCTGTTAACAGTATTAGAGTTGGAAAAGCAGTGAATGATTTCCACACTTATGCATCAGCCAAGACAGTACTGCTTCAGTCATTTCTGTAGAGAAGAAGAGTCATAAAAGGAGGGAATTGTCAGACCTGTAAGTTCATGGATAAAGTTTCAAAAGCGCAAATAAAAATCCCCAGCTGAACATAACCATTTAGGCACTTTAATGCAAACAATGAAAACTGGGATTTAAGCTGAGTTGTTTGGAGTTACTAAGGGACCAAAGTTCACCCTCATTACTCACCAAAAGTTTGATTTAATTTCTTTGCTCTGTGCCATCATGTAAAAGAATCCAGCTCACCTCCTGTGATACAGAGATGTGCTGCAAAGCATTATGCAATAGGTCAGAGCATTTGATGCATTTTGGGACATAGCTCCACAGAAACCATAATACAAGCAACCAGATCTGTTGATTTGTGCATAAGCTCAAGAAATAAAGCATAGCAGTAGATCTGGAAATCAGAATTGCCATTGGCCTTATTTTTGTTATGTTTAGTCCTGACAGCGAGGGTCAAGGAAACATAAGTGAAATAAAACAGATATTTTGGAACTTTTTGGTCCCTGTGATCAAAAAGGTAACCCTGGGAGGAGTTCTCTGATGACAACAGATGGCAGCAGAGCTGTACTCTAATATTCAATTTGCAGTGGTGAAGGTTCCAGTACCTTTGCAGCTGAACCAGAAGAGGGCTGCTGTGGACTTAAATACAGTTCTCAAAACTGCTGTGCTGCTGGTACCAGCCTTGAAGACACTTTAGGTTCTTTACTGACTCAGTTTTCAGTATTAACATGCTCTGCTTTTAGAGTGCTGTTCCTGCATGTGCCCTGCAGAATGAATCTTCACTGGCTAGGTTGCAAAGCACCTAGCTTGCATATATGTCCTATTAAAGACCCATAGACTGTGCATTCTTCCACCTGAGCTTTTCTTGAAGAGCCTGATCAGGAAAGTATTTCCAGAGTATTCCTTCTGACATTTTTATGAATTCAGTTCTGAGGTGCCAGAGTCCCTCCCTACGTATTGTGTCAGGAGACAGGCTTCTAAAATCAGGGCTGACAGTCTCGTACCATAAGGCAGGTGTCCCGTGGACATCCAGGCATCGTTTTAATCCTCACAAGAGAACAAACCAGCCAATTAATACAGGAAGTCAGTAGCTGTGCAGTTCCACTTTCAGTTGTAAATCTGCAGTAGCTGTGAATATGGCCTTTGATGCCTCCCCACATAATAGTCTATGTTTCTATTGTTGTCCAGAAGTACTATAGCTTCGTGGGAGCCCCGAGATGCAAGGAGCATGAAATTAAACACATCTGCAAATACCATGGCAGGCAGGCAGAGGAAAGAGAGGTGGAAGAAGAGGTAGGTACTTTTGGTTTTGATTTAAGGTTGTTCCTTCCCTTGCGATGGGATAATTGTTATCCATCCATCTGTGAGACACTAATGTATGTAGGTTGACAGTATGGACTTAGGAACACCTGGACTGATCTAAGCCTTCTCTTGGGTGGGGGGTAGACAGAGTAACTTCTGGTGGCACCAACCAGTGTCATATCAGTCCTTTCATGGAGGGGAAAATTTCCTGCACATAACACATCACCTCACTTGGGCTGGATGTGTTGTATCATTAGAAAACAGTATCTTTGTCTTCCCAGAGGTCTGAAGCTTCCAGAGCACCCAGTCAAGCTCAAACTTGCCAGCAACGTGTAAGTTTATAAAATACTTTGGTTTTAAATGGAGGTATTTGATGGCATTCCTTTATCATCATTTTGCATCAAGCTAGTTAAAAACTGTAACAGATGTGGCGACTTTGATGAGACAGAAGATTAATGAGTGGTGCATTGCCAATCCTAACGTATGTACAGGCAGTAAAATGGGCACACAGAGAGTTGACTAGTTAATTAGAAGCCAGATTGTGGCATTCTGGTACATAACCAGTTAAGAGTCTGTAGCAGTTAGACTGGTACAGAACATGAAACACTGATAAAGCTCTAGGCTTTTGTGAATTACATCAGCAGCAGTAAGGCAGCACTTCTCCAGTCTCACCTCACTTGTGCTCCTGAGGAAAAGTGTGCAGCAAGGCACACAGCAGTTGCTTAGCCACTTACTCTTGGCCCTCATACAGGCTCTCTGAAGAGTCCTGTTCCTCAAGGAGAAGAAATCTGGTTTTATTTCTAAAAGCCTAACACCTCACCAAATCAATTTCATGAACTGCTAAGCCACAGTAGACGAGAAACACAGAATTTGTCCCACAGTACAAATTAGTGGGAGCACCCTTGTCATAGGGAATGTTTTCCAGGTTTTTGTTCAAAACTGTCTAGGTTGCTAACTTTCAGTTTTGTGAGACGTAGATTACAGCATAGTGATCACTTCAACAGATTGAAACATTAGATGAAATACTTTGAGTATGGCACTTGTTAATTTCTGTACTGACGGGAACATTTCACAGTTTTGTCCACGCTGATTTTGAAAAATCTTAGTACGTTTATATAGCAGCTGAAATGTAATTTTTTTAACCAAATTCAAACTTTTTATTTTTGTGGGAAATCTAGGATGACTAACCAGTAAAGAAGCTTTTTTTTTTTTCTCTTCAAGACCAGACAAGCTTCCAAAGACTTGTATATCGAAGTTTCTCCCGGCATCTATTCTGTCACAGCAATCTCAGACGACATGGTGCGAAAAACCCTCGTAGTAGGTGTCAATGCAGGACAAAGTGTTGATTTAACTTTTGTTCTGTGATGTTTGTTGTTTCTTGACATCATGGGAATAAAATACAAGGCTCTTTTTACTGCATGTAATGAACTATAAATATCCTTTTCTTGTTAGCACTTTAACAGTAGCTTCCTCTTTGGGACTCCATTTTTATGGCCTGTATATTTGTTTTCTACTTAATGCAATTATATGCAACCCACTTTGTACACTGATTTTATAAATATTTGTACACTGTGTGCCTTTTAAATCCAATTATGTGACTGTGTAATTCCAGATTCTTCTGCTTTAAACAATTAAAGATACAATCAGTGGAATAAAATACATGATCAAGCCTTTGTGAGGACTGCTTCTTTTATAGTATCCTCAGACAGAACCTCCATGTCGCATTGTGGACCACAGAGAGCATGATCCATGTGGTATGAATATGGATGTGCATTAGCTTCTGTAGGACGGCACTGATTTTAGAGCAGCTGGATCATAATCTATTCTCTTATCTATACTTTTACTATTCTAATAAAGAAATAAAATGTAAACAGAATTCACTACCTAGGACTCCAGCTCAGAAAGGGGCTTGAATATATGTCAGATGTTCAGTATAGGCACATAAATTATTGATCCCTCAAGTCCTGTCCCTTTGCAGACCAGGCTCAACCCCAGTTAGCTGCCTTTTCTGAGGGCGGTGGGGTACCCTGAATTATCCTATTTCCTGCAGGGGAAAAGTACTGCTGAGCACCTGCAGACTGCAGCTTATGGACAAGTTCATATGCTTTAAACATGAGCAGTCCTGCTAACAAAACTCCCTGGATGCTTTACTTTCCCAAAGGATCAGGTTCCATGTTTAGAATTAGTGATGTGACCTATATAGATCTGTCATCTTTTTGTAGCTGATGTATTAAGGTTTCAGTAATTTTCACTTGAGCATAAAATTCAGTGACTTGAATGCTGGATCTCTAAGCATTTTGTTATTTGTTTCTACAGTAGCAGGTCTTTTACCCTCTGGCTACTTTGTCTTCTGCTTTAATCCTGAAAAAAATAATTTCACCTGTCAACTTGTATTGATTCTGCATTCCTTCTGGCTTTCTACTAACAAAAATTGCTTTCCTGAATTCCTCTGGCTCACTCCAGAGAACTGTAGACAAATTGGAGGTTTATTGGACTCTTGCTGTGCATCTGTTCAGGCTTTTAGTGCTCGTACTAGTTCATCTGTTCTCTCCAGAATTGTAAAGTCAAGTTCAAGTAGTTAGGAATTTAATATCACACCTTGGAGTAAAGAGTGAGGATGCTGAAGTTTGATGTGGGTAGAAATAGAGTTTCTCAGTATTAAAAATGTAGTCATCCATAAAGATATTCTACTGAGACAGTACCTAAATCACAACTTGATTTGCTTAATAAGTATAACACTGATAGAGTATAAGCAGTTTACCTGAAATTTCAGCCCCTGAACTTCATCAGCTGTACATGTGCTGAATTCTGGTTGATCATGTCTCTCTGCTTTGTTGCAAGTGAGCTCTGACATGCTCTATAACATCAAGTTTGTCATCGCCCACGCAAGTCGCTTTACATTTATCATCTGACGCTCTTTTGTTTCTTTGTTTTTCTGATGCTGCAAAACCTTCTTCCTGGAGGACAGAAAACAAATCCCTTGGAAATCTAGGCTAAAAAAAGCATCAATGTCTTTGTTAACTGCTGCTTTCCTGGCTGTACCTCTGCCTCATGTAGCCTTAAAAATGGTATATTTTCTGTGCTAGTACAAACTTTACTGCTGAAACAGAGAATTGTACAGGAAGACCAAAGGATTTTCAGATGTTAGGCTTTGATGAAAAACTTTGCTACTTTAGAAGTTAGGAGGATTGTTGTTGACTGCAGAGAGAGGACATCAGCCCCCCAGAGAGCACCTCTGGGCAGCCTACGGTCTAACTTCACTTGTTTGTTGCAAATCACTTCTGATGCAGTCTACCGCATGATAAAACTGCCCCAGCTATCTCACAGAGTACCAATGTATCTTCTAGGTTTAAAATCACCAAGGGCTATTTTACAGGAATAAAAGTATGTCATTATACTCTGTATTACCACATTGTGCCCACTGCTGTGGTTCATGCTGCTGCTTTGGGGCTAGAATTAAACAATTCTGTTTTCTTATTAGTTTTCCCAAAAGGCAAATCATGTCACTTCAGTGCACAGCTGTGACACTTGCTAACATACAGCATGTCTGCCTGAAGCTCCACATTAGCTGGTAAATTCCTAGGAAATCAATTAAAAAGGTGTGTAATTATGATTATTTAAATAATAAAGTAGAATAGAAATAGAAAGTAGGAACCATACAGTTAATAAGTTGGTAAGCATCTGCTTAAAATGAATGCATATAATTGTGAGAATATAAGATATCTTCCAGTATATTCTCTGTTCAGTAAGACATGTCATTAACAGATTCATCTTCTCCTAAATGTGCAAGGTTAGAATGTTCAAAGTTTTTTTGCAGTCAGCTCACAGCAGCAAGAGCATGAAGGTACAGAGGAGCTAATATTTGATTTCTGATATATAATTTATTAATTGTACCCCAGATGCTCTTGTGCTGACATTCTCTTTCATCTTCCACTTCTTCCTGTAAGCTTTTTTCTTCCTCTTTTCTGTGCTTGCTTTTTTTAGCATTCATGTTCTGATTTTTTTTCCCAAGTTTTTCTAAAGCAGGAGGGATCATGGCCAAGAGAAACCAGGCCTAAAAACCAGGGTGTTGTCCTTGTTCCTAGCTGTGACACAGTTTGCTTACTCTATATCCCCAGCTTTAGGGTAGGGAGCTGCTGTTTAAACTGCTTGCTTCTTGCAAGGGAGTAAGAGAAGAAACTTGGCACAAACCGTTTACTAAAGAATCTGCTTTCATCTTTCAGAGACAAAGACTGTGACAAACAGAATTTGACTGGCAGAGCGCAGCACCTTTCCAGGTTGAGTCTTTCCTTGTATTTTATTGCTGCTGACAGTCACATCTGTCCATTTCTAGGGCCACTCATGTAAGTCTACTTCCATAGGACTTCATTGAGTTGCTGTCCATGGGCATTTGGCAGGTTTCTGAACTGAACTCTGCATTAGTGAATGCTCACACAGTTTGGTTCTGTTTTATCAAGTAGCTTCAGCCCTTCCTTAAGGTTTGGGGATTTTTGTTTCCTGTTAGTGGAGAAGTTTCCTACCTATCACAAAACAGGTGGATGGCCTTAGCAAGCAGTTAAGTTAGAAACCATGTAGTTTTCTAACCAGCTCCCAGACCATTAACAAGAATCTCTTTTCCATTCAAACAAACCTCTCGCTTACATAACTACACTATTAATACAGATTACCTTACCCCCAGTGATGGCTTGGAATCTTGGTCTCTTAATATTTCTTTCACTGTGAGTTGCCCTCTGGGAGACAGCTCAATGGTTTCAAACATTGCACTCGGATTAGCTGTGGCCACATGGGATGTGTCCCCAATGGAGATGGCTTTGGATTCCAGCTTGCCCTTCGTACATGTGCTGCTGCAACTGCCAAGTCCTGGCAAGGAGTAAAATTGTGTGTAAGAGTAAAACCAGAACTGAAATGGAGAATCATTTGTTTCAGAAGAGAGAAAATGCAATTTAAGCCTGAAAGGAATTCTTCCAGGTTATTCAGCATGGACTAGCCATGCAGGTTAATGAAATTAACTGTTGTGGTATTTTTCCTTGAGATGAGTTGCTAAAAGAAGAGCTACCATGCCAGATGAGGCAGCAGAAACATTGGGGAGGGGGAAGTATTGTATCGGAGACTGACATGCAAATTTACAGTACTAATATCAATAACCAATAAGCTACAGGCAGAGTGACTGCCCTGCCCAGAGCACATCTGGTTTTGTTCCCTCTGACTGCTGCTTCTCTGTGGGGGTGTTAAAAGGTACCTGAATTACTGGAATGTGACTTGTGGTGGCTTCTTTTCCAGTATTTCCACTGAGGTCTTGCAGAATCCTTAAGCTTGGGCTTTTCGAGACAGCCACAGCCTGTGTTAACAGCACTGTCCACCACAGTACTCCCAGTGGGGACTGGCTTCAGGTCCCACTCTGAATCAGAAGAGGAGGAAGATGTAGCCACAGCTGCAGCTGCTTCTTGTTTTGTGCCTTCCAGTTCTAGAAGGCCTGGAGAGGGCTCACTGCTGGACTCTGCCTCTTCAGATTTGTTCTGAAAGACCAGAGACCTGGATGGAAGAGACCGCCAGGCATCAGCACTGGGGTGACAGCAGCAGGTGCACCTTACACATCCTAACAAACAGCACAAACCACCACCACAGTGGTAGTGGAAACGTGGCCAGCAGGGTGAGCAGAGCAAGCAGTGCTTGGCAAGGCTGTGTCTAGCACAAACAGGAATGAAGGCTGGTTTAAAAATACAGGGAAAAATACAAGAGTCAGCATCCGGACTTTCTCTGGGCTTCAGCCTGGTGGTGAAGGGCATGTGGATCATCTCCACAGTCCTCTCCCAGAGGCCAGCAGGGATCCACAGAGCCACATTACATGGGAGTTTCACTTTCTTATCATTCCAGAACTGGACTGTAATTTCTTCATCTTCTGAGGCTGTTAAGAGAAAAAGTAAGCAGCCATAAGCAGCTGGCCTGCCTGGGCAGTGCACATACACAGATCAGGCTTTGCAGCTTTGTACTCTTTCTACTTCTGTCAAGCAGCAGGATCAACTATCACCCCTCTAAAGCATCTCACCATAATGTTGGGAGGGTAGAGTGGGCAGCTAGGGCACCATCATTAAAACACAGGCCTGGCAGCATCTTTCCACCCAGTTTGTCATCAGATGAACAAGAAACTGTTGACTGAGTAATCTTTGTTTTTACTGCCAAAGTTAGCAGCAATGCTCTGAGAAAAGTATTTTGGTAAGTCAGTGGAGCTTGACTGTCAAATGTGGGAAAAATTAATGAGCTGTTGAAATCTCCTACATTTGGGTGATAAAATCACTCCCAGATGTACCATTTGTTACAAATGCGAGCATTTAAGATCAGATGAATGCTTCCTGAAAGTTGTCTCATTTGTATTCCTTGTGAAAAGGCCACAGTCCTGCACATGGCAGACACAGCCCTGTCCCAGCAACACCCACGGACACAGATGACATTGTTATGGGTCGCAACTTCCTTAGGGTCAGACTGAAAAGGTTACACACAGATATCCATCAGCAAGTCCCATCAGCTCCTGTAAGCTCTAAGCAACACTAAACTGTACTCTGTGCACTGTTATTCCTCTGGCAGTAGCACAGTGACAAGAGTTTGTCGTGACAAGCGTTTATCCCGACAGTCTCACGCGTGTTCCAGAGCAAGACGAGAAGGGAGAGGGCCACACCTTTCTTACCTCATGAGGGGTCCCTTGTCTCAATGCCTGTGAGGACGGTTCCTGGGCCATACCTGGCCATATCTGGCTCCCAGGGTGCCAGTACTTTGTCTCCAGGGAGTAAGGAGTGCTTCATCCCATTCACATACTCCAGAATGTCATCCTTTGCTGTTTTTTGCACACACACTGGATGCTTTCCACGGGACACAAGTGGTTTGGCAAACTCTACCAGGAACATGCCTCTTTCACTCTGTTATCAAGAACAAAATAGCAGTTCCACTGAAAAACACCCTATAAGGTGTCAGGTCATGTAATCCTCAGTAGGAGGCCATCCTGTGCCTGTGACTAGGCCAAACCGAGCCTGAACAGTAGCTAAATAGTGTGTGGTGTTAGTCCAGCACTGAGATGGCCAGAAAAATCTTTAAGAGGCTCCCAGAAAGCAGGATGAGCAAAGCATATGTATAGATAGAGTCACCGCCACTAGGATCTGTATTTTCTTTCCCAAGAGAAAAAACTATAGACAAGTGTAACTGGATTTCACAAATAACACCATGTGTGCCAAGTAACAAGGGACACTGCCGCCATTCAGACCTGTTCTTAAGTTGTGCCTAAGTCCTTCCTCATTACATACAACACTAACTCTGCTTCTTGGGGGGTTTGTTGGGAATTTTTATTTTCTTTCACACTAAGGCCTGTCAAGAGGCTTTCCATCAACAATGAAGTGAGGCACTTCCCTGTTCTTGAGAAAGAATAGGCTCTTTTTTGTGTTAAGTTTGAAGTGCTAACAAACTAATGAATTAAAGCTTTCACTGACATTTCTGGAAAGACCCCAAGCCATTGGTCTGTACCTGACTCAAGACAGATGTGTGTACATAAAACACTAACCCTTTTCCTGTGCTATTGATGGTTATGTGTGTACACACAACAGCAGCCCGTACACCGCTTGCAACGGCACTCAGGCTGTCTGAGCCTGGCTCAGGGCCCAGCACCAGCAGAGGCAGAGGGCTGCTCTTTCAAGGTGCACAAGAACACTGCTTTCACCAGGAACTGGGAGTCTGTGGGGCATCCATTTTCTGCACAAGATGAGGATCCCTGAAACACACCTGCTCACTGCTAGGGATGGACTCAGCAAAGGGGGCTGAGCAGAACACGGTTCCAACCATTGTTAGTTTATTGGTGCCTCAGGCTATGCTGCACACAAGAGGCTCACATGGCTTGTCAGGCAGCAGGAGGTAAGGAACAGCCTGGAATCAGGCATGTTGGGAGCTTTATGAATCAATATAACCACAAGCTCCAGCTGTCCTGGTGATCTGTTCTCTAGTTCATGCACCAGCTGAAACCAAAACTGCTACACTGAACTCAGGTGGTGTGTGAGGACTGCTCCCTATTACTCACACCCATGTTACTGTACCATTGCTCACCTCTATCTCCTCTTTTACTGTACCACGGTAATAAAATCCATCTTGTTCCCTTCTCACCAGCACAGGCACCTTGCTATCTATGCACACGGATCTCCCCAGTCTCTCCCATGCCAGGGTGGGGGAATGGAGGCAGTGGCTAATCCATTGGCACCTTGAAGAAAAGAAAATGGGTCAGCAGTGAGAGAAACAGCTTCTGTAGGCCATGAAAAAAAAAACCTTTTAAGATTTAGGAACTGGAACACTCCATCTCATTTTCTACCACTCCCACAGGCCAAAGAACGTGGGAAGAAACAGAAAACTTGCCTGTGCAGGGACAATTCCTTGTTCTTGGGAAAAACATGTCAGTGTCTGCTTTTACCCAGATTTCTTTGGTTTTAGGTTTAGAGGAAGCAGTCTGCTGGAATCCTGGGCCAGGAATACCTGCACCATCCCTTTGCTGTTTTCGTGGTGAGACAATGCAACCCTTCCCCAGCACAGAGCACAGCGTAGGCGTGCTTGAGAATGCTGCAGCTGATGGTTTACACTGAAGCATTCGGGGAACAGCAAAGCAGAGAAGTAAACAACCAAGCTGCTGGTTGATGACAGGTTCAAGTTTAAAACTTGAAAAATAATCTTCTGTCACAAAGCATTAGAAACATTTCACAGAAGACAGCTGCTAATGCAAGATGCTTTTATTTATCCAAATAATATCATAGGAATGTTTCTTTGATAGGAGGCTTACTCAGGCTTTGCTTTTCATAATCTCCAAGGTAGCAAATTACTTAACACCACCTAAAAAACTGCCAGTGCAGGGGTGGAAAAGCCCAAATGATGTTCAAACTGCTAATTTATTAATCTGACACACCAGCCTGGTTTATCCTATTAGATATCATGGAAAAAAACAAATGACAGACTTGATCTTACCTCTGGGGGATGAGGGGCTCAGCGATCCAGGCAGGATACACTACAAAAGAGCTCCTGCAGGTGGGGTTAATGGCAGGTACAGTGCTGGAACATGAGAATTTGTCCAGAGCTGGCCTCACACTGCAATACCTGTGACCTGTAGGCAGGAACCCTTCCAAATTAGCCATTCTTGCAAAAGCAGATACCCGCAGGACTCAGTCGTGATCTGTTGGTAGAAAAGAGACAAAGTACTGGCATTTCTAACACAAGGAAATCCTTTCCAGCATACCTCAAGAACTCAGTAATTTTGATTAGTTGTTTATTTTTATTTAAAAACACCGAATTCAGAATATTCAGACTGGCATTTCGCCAGATGAACCCATATCACTGCCTTCAGTGATCTTCAGTCACCCAAATCCCAACCTGGAAGAGGGACAGAAACACCCAGGGAAATGACAAATGCTATGAAAATCTCCAGAAAAAGAATAACTTTCACCTCCCTCCAATGTTTGTTTCCCTCTGTAAAATCCAGCTCTCTTTTTTTATACCTACACTCTCCTTTAAAGCGTTCTTGTACACAGTGCCAGCCAAACCTTCACTGTTTTACAAGCTGAGACAGAAATTACAGCTGAAGTTGACAAGCTGAGTAAACGTGACAGTTTTTGAACGTGATGTTAGATTACCATTGCCTGTTATTTATTTATGGTGATGTATTAAGAGGAAATATTTTGATCTTTCAGCTGTCCTGTCATGTTTTATAACAGCAGGATTATGGCTTGCAATGAGAAAGAATGAGATGCTCAGATGTGACAAGTGATAACTATTCAGAGGCTGTCAGAGTAAGATCAATGATGTGATGCTATCTCTGGTAATTTAAAAAGATGTAGTAGACAAGCTTCCATTCATTTTCCTTTTTCTTTTTTTTTTTTTAACATTGCTTAGAAACATTTAGCATGCTTAGAGTAAAATTTGCATGGAAATTCAACGACATAAAATTTAAGTGCTTTATTTTACAAAATGCAGTTTAACCACTCCTGTTTAGATATTTTGATAAACTCCTGTTTAGATATTTTGTCTCTTATCTAAGAAATATCATCTGGAAGTCTTTTTTGTGGAGACTCCCAGATATACATAATTTCAGAAAACTAGCAGAGCAAACCCAGCAAGAAGAGTGGGTTAACTGCTGCAGAATATATCTTTAAGTCAGCAAATCAACACAATATATCCAATTGTTTCGTAACTATACAGACCCCTCCTTATGAAACCAAAACAGGACAGAATAGGTAATACTTTGCAAAGAAATGCAACTATCATTTCTACCATTCAGCACTGTTACTGCTGAGGGCAGGGACCCCTATTTCTGTACAAAACAGGTCACTGACAAAGGCAACGACACTATATTCTGAGATTTTCTTTCTGGATAACTCCAAATAGTTTGACACAGCAGAGTTTCAAACTTACCAGCTATTGGTAACAGTGCATCTGGTCAGTTTGGATTTAGTCCGAGTGCAGAAATCTTGCCCTTCTGCCCGTTGGACACAGGAAGCCATTTGCTGCCAGTGTTTCCTGGTTGCTATGGAGGTTGCCATAGTTGTTACTTCCAGGATTGGACATCCTGATCTTACTACTTAAAAACCAGTGGAACAGGACTACCGAGAGGACCGTTTGTCTGCCACACATTCGCTCAGTGTTCACGTGGATTTAGGTACTGCACTGAAAGACTGCAGGGGCAGAGAAGGGGTTATAAGAGAGCTCAGTGTCCTCTAGGCCTACGCTTACAGGATAAAAACAGCATCAAAGCTACAATTCAGATTTAAGGGGGAAAAAAAGTCCGCCACCACAGGCCATGACAAGTAAATTGCTTTGAAATATGAAAAGAAAGGTTGAAGCTGAGATAAACCAAGGTCAAATCGCTTTACAACTTTCTCCCTTTGCACTAAAGGGGAAGGATTAATGAATTCTACCCCTTTCCCACAACATGTCTATCAAAAACATGACAGATTATAATGCAGAAATCCACCTGTTAATCTCTGCTGTGATCCCTAATCTTCATTTCCTCCTTAAAACAGAGTTAACAACTGGGGTTTGATTTTTCGTTTGTTTGGTTTTGTGTTTGTGGGTTTTTTTGGAGGGTGTGTGTTTGGAATGCTTAATTGCCTTTTGTAGGCATTTTCCAATTCACTGCTATAAAAACAATGTAACAGGGTGATGACTGCAATTAGAGACAAGGATACATCACTTAAGAAGTCTGTAACCATCTTTTTGTGCATTCTGCTGCACACGCTACACGCTCTCGTGCTGTCAGCAGAATTGCTCAGTATCAATCATACGATCCCCTTACGCAGAGCAAATGTTAAGAACACTTTTACCAGTTGTGAGCTAAACTCTTCATCATCTTCATACAAATCTATTCTACAACACCTGACTGAAACCGTCAATAGTACAGAGGAACAGACTGGGAGGCTGGGAAGGTCTTGGCTATGGGGAAAAAACAATCCTGCAACAGAAATTTTTCGGGACTTTGACTGATAATGGTTGAGGTCTGGGGTGGTCTTTATGTAGTGTATTGGGTGAGTAGTTCTAGTAATTTTTAAGGGCAGTGACATCCGAATAAGAATCCAATTTTCAACCAAAATTAGGCTAAGTCAATAGTTTTCAATGTGATTAAAATATTCATTAATAAGAAAACAATGAAACAGCACAAGCAAAACTTAATGATCTTCCTATGTTCAGTAACTGTGCTGCAGAAAGCTGCTACTCTACTCTATTTCTCCCTCTTAAACGAAGTTATTCTTTCTGTTGGCATCTAACAGCACTCCTTGGAACCTTTAAAAGAGTCTTTCAAGAGAAGCATTGGCAATCATGAATCTTTCAATAAAGTGTGAGAGTAAATCAGCAACAAAAAATGAGAAGAATCTCAGTCCCATCAGTAGAAAGATTTTATTTTAAAGCATGCAGACTGTGATGATACATACAGTTACTTCACACATATAGGTGCTACATTTTTAGCTTGGTGACAAATTTAGAAACGCTTCCTGATTTTCATGAATTAACTTAGGTCATTCAGCTAAGATTTTCCCAGTGGTCTTTTTCGTATCTAAGTTTAGTTACTATCTGCAAAACTAAAGCTCTTGTGTGGGCTGACACTGACGTGTGCTCCGAGCTGATCCCAAGATGTGCCAGGAACACGCACGTCATTAATGGAGTGGCTACTACGTTCCCAGACACAGTACCTTTTGCTTGGTTTGGAACACTTTAGATCGCCTGCAAAAACTGGTTCTGCTTGTTAACTGCTTTAGGTGCTTGGCTTGGTTCCATGACGTTTTTTCCTGCCACCACAGAATCACTGTACAGAACAGACTGCAGGTACCTAATGTATTTTATTGCAGCACGGAGTGTCTCTACCTTGCTGAGCCGTTTCTCCAAGTATTCCTTCGGCAGGTGATGCCTCAGCTTAGCATAGCCTTCATTGACACACTTAACCCGCTGCCTTTCCCTCTCATTCCTCTTCCTGATGAAAGCTGGCCCGTAGGAGTACTCACTTCTGTGGAAATTGGAATGGGGCATTTGGTAGGGAAAGGTACAGGGCTCACTGTAGAAGTTCTCCGTGATGAGATGCTCAGACATGAAAGGAAGGAACGACAAATCCTCACAGCAAGTGACCTGGTTTGGTGTTTCTGGGTGCACGTGGAATGTGACCAGTGGGTCGGCACAGAAAGGCCGGGCCAGTTGTATGCGCTGGGTCTCAGTACAGATGAGGTTACAGTAGCTTTTGCCATCCATCAGGTTCTGCATTTAACCTGTAAACACACAGTTATATAATAGTTTAAACCACTGTTACTGAACAGTAATAAAAACACCTCATGCAGACCTACCAACACTTGGCCTCACTGGCATTTTCCAGAAGAGATTTTGAATGCATTTGTGACATTTCAGAAAGGTGATAGAATTAGATAGAGCAAACAATTTGCTGTTTGAAAATACAGAAAGTGTAAGTCAACAACACTGATTAAAATAATTCACAACAGGAAAGAGCAAGCAGTCTCCTTTCACCTCAGATTTAGAAATTAAGAGAATCTACATACTCCACATCAGTCTAGCTTGCTCCAAATCCACCAAAACTTACATGTCTGTAGACAATAAACAAAGCACGCCAACATCTGAGACATTCTCTCCACCTCCTTCTCCTCCTGAAAAAAATTAAGTCTACAATTGCAGTAAAAGACTCCCTATTCATACCAAAAAGCCTTCAAAGACAAATCATTTTTTCTCTCTGTTCATTTGATGTCTCATTCACCATACTACCTTAAATAGATGGAAAGCTTGTGCTATCTCAATCTTAGTTTCATGTCTGTCAGGTATTACATCCACTCAACATAAAAAGGTTTAAAAGAAGTTTAGAGAATCTAGAAAGAAGAGAGAATTTCTGCTAAGCCTAACATCTCCTTGGGTCCTCATGCTCCTCCTGCACTCACCTGCAGATTAAACACAGATATGAAATACTAAATACAATCCTATCGACAGAGGAGTATGAAATAATCAATAAAAGGAAAAAATATATGTCCAAGCAATACTAAGAAAGAACTGCACACAGTTGTTGGGGCACTGCTGTAACTCAGTCTGGCCTACTAAAACCCCATATCCTCTCTTCAGAGCAGCATTACAGCAGGCGTAACTATTTAAATCACCCTTACAGATTTATTATAAAGATAATCTTGCAGTAGTTTATAGAAAGCTACATTATAGTGTCTTCTCAATATCATTATTCAAATAGCTAAATATCAGCATAAGTGCTGATAATGTAATGACTGTCATCTAATAGCTACTTAAAGTACATTTGAAATTACTAGTTAATTTTTAAAGAATTACTGTGAGCCATCCTTACAGCTTGAAGGCAATACTTGCCTACACAGAATTTATCCAAAAATGTTCTTACTCACCATCCACTTGCACATCTATACATTGCTGTCTAAAGCACTGAAGTTATATTACATCCTCTAAAATGGAATCCACACCTGAACATTCAGCTAGGTTACTAGACACATCTAGATTCCATACTCACAAAAATCTTGCAAAGCTTCAAATGCTCCAATCACAGCTCCATAACATAAATGGGATCCCCTGAATCCTTCAGAAGTATATGGGGATACTGTAATGTTCTCTAACGACTTCGTACCTGCCATGATTAAAATAGAGAATTTTTTACTCAGTATGGACCTGTCCTCACAATATATTCTATGAAAATGCCTCTGAACTCAGTGTTGTCTCTTTTTATAGTGCACATAGATTTCACCACAGAAATCCTATGAACTAAGAATTCATTTATAGCATGCTGCTAGACATGAGTGAAAGTCACATGCATCTTAAACAGGTACTTCTGTAGGTAGGCTGAAAGCATGAACACACATCCATTTCACGTTAGTATGCATGCAAAAAAATCAGAGGTGAACATACACTCATTGTAAAATCAAAACAATAGCCAGTCATCTTTCCATTTTCTACTTACACAGGTTATTGTCTAAAAACTTTCTACTGCTAACAACTTAAAAACACTGTCTGAGGAAAAAGTCTGCTACATAGCAAAACAAAAACTTACAGCAAAACATCATTACAGAGCAAGAAATCAAAACCAACACAACTCCTCAAGAAGAGATACTTGCAGTATTTGTTGCTTAGTACTGACACTTCTGCTGGACAACAGCATTACATAAAACAGTTACCTGCTGCCTTACTACCAGCACAAAGTGCAAAATCCAAGTGTCAGGAACATTTTCCTCTTAGACCAGAGACTCACCAATCTTCAGACGGAAGTAAAATCCAAGGAAACAAGACGTGCTATTTTAAGAGTGATGAATACCTGAAAATATCTGAATGATATTTAAAAAAAAGAAATTAATGTTCCATTTTTCTTACACCTTATTTAATAAGAGATCATATTAAACAGGATTCATTAAAGAGCTATGGAAGCATTGTTAGTGAATGGCTGGTAGAAGTGATTTACAAAGACATTGATATTCAGTGAAGATCTTGGCTAGATACAGCAACATGCAAGTCTCTTACCTGAATTGTGTCGCTTGTTCCGCTGAGTCAATGACTGCTGCAATTTATAGTCAACCGACAACATGCAAAGTAGCTTACAGTTAGATCTGCTCATTTCTGGTTGGGCTCTTCCACCCACACCACAGCTATGATGGCAACAAAACTTGGCACCAAGGGCTAGAAATTTTGAAACTGTTATTGAATACATCCAGATTACCTGAAAAAGTATTAGGAACCTACTTTGTTTACTTCCTGTATACATTCTGTTACAGTTTACTAAAGCAGTATTTTCATTTATTGGCATTTCATACTTTAATGTCTAAATA